ATATTGAGTTTGCGTTTAAACGAAGTACTAAAGATACGAGAAGTTCCAAAACGTGACATTAATTTCTTGACGACCTAATACATGTATAGTCATTTTAAAGTGGAAGCCGTACGACTTCAGTAAAGTTTTAAGTTGTGTAAATAGGGAAACGTTGTTTTTATCTACTTATTATAAGCCTAATAGTGTGTCTTGTGACATAATAATTAATTATCTTCATTAATTGTTTATCAAAATGCGGAAAATTATCTTCTGTATCAGTGTTCTTTGCTGGTCGTCATTTTATTTCATTTTGACTGTTTCTTCTATCGATGTAAAAGGAATTAAAATTTTATCAAATGCACAGTTTTAGGCTTTTTCTAATTGTTCTTCCCCATTTTATTTTTGTCGCACCAAACTTATATTTTCTCAGCCTTTCACTTATTTTGTAAGCAAGTACTAACATAAATAATTATTAATTTTTGTTATTCCTCCTTTTAGTTATTTCTCAGTTTAACTTCCTTCCGTATTTAACTTTATTCTTGAATTATTTGCTTTTATCACTTTCCAAGTCGTTTGTCAGCGTTATTTATTACGGTGCCCCCACCGCGGAACGCTTTTACACATTTTCGAGATGACTCTCGAACGTTCTACTACTTACCCAATGTTCGACATAATTGATTCGCGCTTCCAATTATTTGACTTGAGGCGATAGTTATTGCATGTTATGCAGAATGCACAGAATGGTCAGGCGCTTTTGTTATATATATAATGTTATATATAAAAAATAATTATCGCGTAGCTTATACATATGAAACATACATGTTATAAATTAAATATTTCGTTATTAAAATTTTCATCGCTAGCTGAATAAAATTAAACTTATGTTTAATTTTTGCGGTACTGAATAAATAAGTTAAACATAAAAATATTTTATGTTAAAGATAGAGCATAATTTATCTGAAATAGAATAATTCAAAATGTTTAATATGATTGAAGTTCTTGTTATATCCTGGAGTCTGGGACTCCTGCGGTTGCAGGGAGCACTAATGATAGGCCTGCTTGACTGTATGCATATAAGAGAAAAAAAGAAGACACCCAAACAAAAGATATGTTCAAGGTAACAAGATTAGATTAGTCTTTTATACACAATACATATTTATTTTGACAATTATTATCTATGATTGGCACAAAGCTTTACTAAATCTGCAGAAGCCGGAAATATCTTCATGAAATAGCTCTTTTTTTGTACTTACGAACATTTGAAATATGGCAAGGTTTACATTAGTTCTCTCCTATAACACCTTACGTAAACGGACTTTTTTAAATTACGTGAAACTTAGTAAAAGATTTCAGATTCGATAACCGCTTGGGAATAAATATATATTTGTAGAAGAAAGTAGCCAGAGGCTGGTCCAGGAGTGTATTAAATAGTTTACTACCTACTTTTCCTGAGTAACTAAAATAATCAAAGAGTAACAGATGGTAATCAAATTTTTAAAAGGGGAGACTTAAAATACGCTACGAACCTTACCTCGTGCAATACACACATTTTTTATTTTTTTTAGGAAAGCATGCTACAGACCCCATCAAGTATCTACCCTGGTTACAAGTTCTGAATTTGACAAATTAATTACGTTTCTGGACACCCTCATAGCTTTTCAGTCAAAGATTAAACAGTCATCTAATTCTTTGTATTTTGTAATAATTTAATAGTTTAAAGTTCGCATTTTAAAAATCCGTGATTTATAAGCTGAAAGTACGATTCCTAATTGCTATAAAGAGGTGTGCGAGATTTATATAAATAAAAATTTCAATGTTATTTAAAAAATAATATTTTCTTAGAATTCAGACATCTGTTTAATGAAACATTACATTCGCTTTCATCACTCCTATTCTCAGATCAAAAATTTCAAAAAATGCTACTTTGTGCACCCTCCTCTCCAAGCTTTAACTCTGATAATGTAATCTTTAAAATGTGTTATATCTAATTTGATGACGTTTGTAAACAACCTCTAATCTAAGGCCTCAAATTTCAGCTTCTAACTCAACTATGCTGAGTCCATCTATAATTTTGAAAGTGCCTATCGAACCAAAAGTTTACTGATCTTCACGAACCCAAACTTTAATATAGTTCACGATCTTATGAAAACCAAACTAAAAAACGTCGCTCTTTCCTCCTTCTACAGGTAGGACGCCTATAGTCCAAACTCTTCATTAACTACTTGCTCTTAAAACTCTATCCAAGAACAAATATATTCTTTATGTTTTTACGTTATGGAGATGAAATTAGGTTAAACATTTCTCATAAAGCAGGAAAAATAGAAAAAAGTAACAATAAAAAAAACTAAAAAGAAATTATAAAATAAAAAAAAATGGATCCCAAACACAAGAAAAGCACGTGAGGTGTTTTAAACAATAAACAGCTTTTAGAAAGCACAGCTTGGTAAAAATTATCATATACAAAAACATAACGAAAATATAAGCGTCATCATTAAGTTAAAGTGAAGTTCCTTATTTCCGTACCAGGATGATGACGCCAGAACAATCACCTTGTTATAATCCATAAAGACTCACTTGGTTGCCCCTCACTGCTTTTCTTACACGAATTTGATTATGCATTAAAATTACTCATCCATCTAAGATGACCACCAGTCGTTCCGTGTGTTCTTATGCCTAAGCTTTCTGAATTCTTCTTATTGAGAGCCGGATTAAAAAGCTAGTGTTAACAATTTATAGCTTGTATTAAAATCAATGAGCAGAACACTGTAAAATGATGAATTTTGGAAAACCAAATAAAAAAAAAAACGAAATACTGCAGCACACGTATTTGGAGTCATAATATTGTATGTTAAATATTCTTAACACTTCGCTGCGTGTTCTTATTAATAGGTGTGCGTCACAAATGTTACCTTGTTTGTGCGCATGAGTACAACTACAAGCTATCTGACATAAAATGTTAAAAACATGTGTGGCCTACGAAAGACTCTTGTTTAAAGTTATTATTGTGTATTGTCAGCTGGCCGAATACATGGAAAAGTTAAACTTAATAATCTATTAATGTTAGCGTGGTGGTTGGTTTGGTTTGTTATGAATTTCGCGCAAAGTTACACGAGGGCTATCTGCGCTAGCCATCCTTAATTTAGCAGTGTAAAACTAGAGGGAAGGCAGCTAGTCATCACCACCCAACTTGGGTTACTCTTTTACCAACGAATAGTGGGATTGACCTCACTTCATAACACCACTACGGCTGAAAAGGCGAGCATGTTTGGTGACACGGGGATTCGAACCCGCAACCCACAGATTGCGAGTCGAGCGTCCTAACCACTTAGCCATGCCGGGCCCAATGTTAGCGTGTAAATTACCGGGATTGAAATTTTGTTCGTTAATATCAATAAAATAACAAAACTTTTTCTATACCTTGAAAGAGTATCTTTTAAGAAATGACATTTTTCTTATTCATTTTCATTTAAAATGAAAGTATTGTTAATCATACGTTATGTTTCCCATGACAGGCAATGTAGTCGAACGTTACGATAGTTTAGAATGATTGTGTTAATGATTGTGTTAATAATTGTGTTAATGATTGTGTTAATAAACTCCAAATCTGGCGTAATAGTCGAACGTTACGATAGTTTAGAATGATTGTGTTAATGAATGTGTTAATGATTGTGTTAATGAATGTGTTAATAAACTCCAATGTTATAAAAGATAAGTAATTTCGTGAAAGGATCAAACAATAATTTCTCTCACCAAACAATAATTTCTCTCATCAAACAATAACTTCTCTCATCAAACAATAATTTCTCTCACCACTTCGCGTAGCACTAACAGCTGGTGTTTAGATTTTCGTACGTCTTCAGAAAGTTGTCTAATATCCACTAGATGGCGTCCAAAATGTGAAGGAAAGATTTCGGTATAATCTTCACAGCTCAAATCCGGTTGACCTTCATGGGGAAAATAAACAAATCCTTCCATGAACCACCAAATAATGATAGTTCTTTCAATCATTTTATTTTTACAAATACTATGGAAGAAAATTATATCACATACATATTGAGCATAAAGTCAGTTTTCAAGTTGTTCAAAAATACATTAATATATACATATTTACATTAATGTATAAATAGTGAAAACATAAAAGAAGTTTACTGAAAAGTTTGCTGTTTATTTGCTGCTTATACTGTAATGTTGCAGTTTTTTATGTTGTCTTTGTAAGGACGTAGAAACATGGACAGATCATCACCTGCTGATTGTGGCCATGAAGTTTCAGTAGGAGTTGGACTCCCACTGGAGCTAGCGCCATCTACTTCCCCACCGCCATTAACTAGTCTTTGGGTGTCAAGTAATGTAAGATGTCGGTGGAGATTTTTACCAAAGCCACTTATGTAGTTTTGTTTTTCTGGAACCAGCTCTTTACGTTGTTGAATAGTTGTACATAACCAGCGATGTTCTTGATCCTTGGAACCAACAGTGTTCATTATCTTTGATTTTTTTTCTTTACTGTCACTGGTAATGAAACAAAACATCTTTTATTTCAACGATATATAAAAAAAGTAAAATTTTGACTTTATGAATAATCCATAGATCTTTTTTGTTTGTTGTTAAGCTCAAAACCATAACTATCTTTGCTCTTTCTAGTGTTATAAAACGTCAGACTTACCACTGAGTCATAGATCAGATAATAACAAAACAAACATACAAAGTTAGAAGAAACAAACTAAGTGGCCAAACTACGTTTAAATTTCTTTATATGATGAAATGGTTTAAATACGACAGTTGATTATTAACTTTCATTTTTGTCTTTAATTTACTTACTAAAATTTTATTTAACACTTCAAAAAACTGCTTACTAATATCACTTATAGCATAAAGCATATATATACATACATACACGTGTATGTGTGTATGTATGCATACATATTTATTTACCACGCGAACACTAAGTAATATAAGAGTTTCTTTAATAAAATAATTAGTTATCAGTTTGTGTACATTATTTTTATGCAGCCTGATGATATCAAAAACATTTATTCAAATGCTGAAGAAAATTATCTGACCTACTAGGCACTGCATTCTGAAACGTTGCTTGTTGTCGAGTTTCATCAATAACGATTTCAGGTTTCGTTGCGTGTTTATCGCCATCTGTTGATGTATATAGGAACTCTGTATCACTGCTTCTCTGGGAAGTTGATGGTGTGTTTCGTACACTTGAGGGCGTTTGTATACTAGCAGGTTTATAATGAGCAGCAATAACATGCACTAGTTTCATAATGCTTTTTAGATCTCCTTCTACAATATCTAAATTAAAAGAATAATAATAATAATACCGATAAGTAAACACATTAATAATTGCTGCTTAATATTTCGGTATCAGAATTCTTGAGAGACCGCAAATAACTTATATTATGCTATAATTCAATAGTCCAGCAGATATGTGCAAAGTAAGAAAAACTGTGCTTTTAATGATAAAAGCATTACATTTGACACCCAAATCATGTCCTAATAAATATTTGTGGCTATAGGGCCACTACAGATTTGTTCTATAGCGGCCATGGCAGCCATTTTACAAAATGACCACCAATGACCGCAATGACTGCTTTACTGAACAATCGCCCACACTTCCTACCACTTAGGATGTAACAAATCTGCCATATGTAGATTTTAATGCGTAAATATCAGGCTGCTGACCTTATCTGTTTGATGGTAACATTATTTTCCTCACCTGCTTTCAACGTTTTTGAAAGAATGAAGATGGGAAAACACAGCAGATATTTTAGGATATCTGAGGTACTAGGCTTTGGAGAGTCAACATGTGATTCACTGGGTCAAGTATTCTGTGTCACGAGGACATATCTGATGCGCTTCACTGTGCAGCCGATTCAAAATGTAACATTGATAAAGCAGGCTAAAAGACCTTTCCTCAATATTTTCTGGGCTTCTATAACATCGATTGCTTGTCAAGCACAATAGATATACGACGTCTAGATGTTGATGAAAGCATCAAGTCAACTTTCCACATCCCAATGCCAATTGGCATGATTTTTGTAGTCTGAAGCCCAATAAAACAAAACTTCAGCAGGTGGAGAAAAGGAAGACACCCCATGAAGACAATACTGATGCCTTTAAGACGCATACCCATTAAAGCTCGGAACACACTACTCCATCAAACGGAACCACGTTTCTTCTGTGACAGACGTGCAGCTGGGGAGTACCTGCACGCGGCTGCAACATTTGAGCACGATACTCGCGTCAGGCAATTTTCCCTCAAAGTATAGAACAAACTTGTGATAACACAAGAGGTTAAAGTACTATGTTCAGTACTTGGTTTCTCTCTATCACAAAGTGAGGGAAATAAATACATCTAAGTATTGATATTCAGGAAGGAGAACGGTCCCATCTTGTGTTTTTCGTTTCAAGTCAGAAAAGTAACTCATGATTCAATTTTCGTTTGGTGGAGTGAACAGCCTGATGTGATACAAATTTGCTAGGTTATTCAGAGTGAAACTAATGCCCTCCGTGTGGGCTTCCTCAGCATAAGAAAACAATTCAGTAAATGCTATACTATTATTAATACTGGTGACATCCTGTTCTCAGAATCCAACAGTCAAGTCCTCAGCACACATTATATATACATACATACAAGATGGCGTGAGGCAAATATTTACTAAGTTGTTGATACGTAGAACTGAGACTGATGTGGCAGATATAGGAATGGCATCAGTCCAGAACTTCAACAACCTGTAGGTTGCCTTTGCCATAGAGGTTCGACAAATTCCTAGTAGCTCGTTAGATCAAACATATTATTGGTGTGAACGTTCTTTGTAGTCACTATGAGAAAAAACCTATACGCTGGATAGATGAATTGAAGAAAAAGTGTCATTGGCCACTATTCAGTTTTTCACATCATATAGCCGTACAATAGCAGGTATAATAAATAAACTTTGTATTCCGAAAATTGTTTAAACTCGAAATCTAAGTTCAAGGAAGGTCCAGTTCAATCTACACTTTGAGTTCACGACAACAATATGATTGATACTTTTCACTATGATATAGGTCCAGCTTATCTCTCTT